CTATTATACTGATCACTATTTCGACACTATCCTCTATTACTATACGGATCGCTATTCTCCATACTATCACTATACTATTATACTGATCACTATTTCTATCCTCTATTACCATACGGGATTCTCCATACTATTCACTATACTATTTCTCTATACTGATCACTATTTCGACACTATCCTCTATTACCATACGGATCTTTATTCTCCATACTATTTACTATTTCTCTATACTGATCACTATTTCTACACTATCCTCTATTACCATACGGATCTATTCTCCATATTATTCACTATATTCTCTGATACTATTTCTACATTCTATTACTATACGGATCTATTATTCACTATATACTACTGATCACTATTTCTACACTATCCTCTATTACCATATTCGGATATTATTCACTATACTATTTTCTTACTGATACTATTTTTCTCTATTATACGGGATCGCTATTCTCTATACTACTATTTTCTAAACGACACTATCCTCTATTACCATACGGATCGCTATTCTCCATACTATTCACTATACTATTTCTCTATACTGATCACTATTTCTACACTATCCTCTATTACCATACGGATCGCTATTCTCCATACTATTCACTATACTATTTCTCTATACTGATCACTATTTCGACACTATCCTCTATTACCATACGGATCGCTATTCTCCATACTATTCACTATACTATTTCTCTATACTGATCACTATTTCTACACTATCCTCTATTACTATACGGATCCATACTATTCTCCATACTATTTCACTATACTATTTTTCTACGGATATATTTGATCACTATTTATTACATACGGATCCTATCCATCTATTACTATATTTCTCTATACTGGATCACTATTTCTCCACATACTATTACTATACGGATCGCTATTCTATATTCACTATACTATTTCTCTATACTGATTTTTACACTATCCTCTATTACCATACGGATCGCTATTCTCCATACTATTCACTATACTATTTCTCTATACTGATCACTATTTCGACACTATCCTCTATTACCATACGGATCGATATTCTCCATACTATTCACTATATGATCTATTTCTCTAAACTATACGGATCGCTATTTCATACACTATCCCTCTATTGATCACATTACGGATCCTATTTACGGATCTATTCTCCATTCACTATACTATTTCTCTATACTGATCACTATTTCTACACTATCCTCTATTACCATACGGATCGCTATTCTCCATACTATTCACTATACTATTTCTCTATACTGATCACTATTTCTACACTATCCTCTATTACTATACGGATCGCTATTCTCCATACTATTTACTATACTATTTCTCTATACTGATCACTATTTCTACACTATCCTCTATTACTATACGGGATTCTCCATACTATTCTCTATACTATTTACTGATACTATTATCTCTATTACCTACGGATCACTCCATATTATTTTCTATACTGATCACTACTATTATCCTATTTCTATTACCATATTACGGATCGCTATTCTCCATACTATTACATTTCTATACTATTTCTCTATTACTGATCATATATTTATTTCTGACACTATCCTCTATTACCATACATACGGATCGCTATTCTCCATACTATTCACTATACTATTTCTCTATACTACGGATCACTATTTCTACACTATCCTCTATTCCTATTACCATACGGATCGCTATTTCTATACGGATTTCTCTATACTATTCTATTCCATACGGATCTATTCTCCATACTATTCACTATACTATTCTCTATACTGATCACTATTCGATGGTTATTTTCGATTTACTATAGTATTATCACTATTCGATGGTTATTTTACTATTAATTACTATTAGTGTGAGTGTTATACGGAGGCGTCTGACACCGATATTGTTCAACGGCGTTACTATAGTTGTAATCTGCGATTACAAAGTCTCTACTACAATGAGAATTACGAAAGTGGCAACGAGTATTCGTTGACATCAGACGAAGTGTCAACGAGTGTTCATTGACATCACAAAAAATATCGTATTTTCAAGGTTAGTCATGTAGAAGTTACTAAATGTTGATCCTAGAACTAAACCCATGGAAACGCCATTTTTTTGTACATATATATTATTTTGATGGTCTTAAAAGGGAACCTCAGTAGTGCAAGTCAGGAGTATTTTCCGTAATAGGTTTAATCTTTAATGGGGGGTGAGATCGATTGTTGCAAATATTCTTTATAATTATATCAATTTGACTGGGACATTGGTTAATAAACTTTCAACATCAAGTGAGGCTATGGTTTCATTATTAGGTTTTTGTGTTTTTAAGATTGGGTTTAGTTTGTGAGTTGACTTAATGCTGTATTTATTAGGTATGTACGGTGTAATGAGTTGGTTAATGATTTTGGTTACTTGATAAACCGGAGTGGCGATTTGAGATATGATAGGACAGAGGGAATTTACTTTTATGTATTTTTATGGTTCCATGTATCCTGGTTCGTAGTCACTAATTATTTTGGTAAGTTTTAAATTGTTTTGTTCCGCGTTGTTGGCCGTGATCAGTTTGTTGAATTTCAATTTCAATTGATTAATAGGATTTTTGTTGACTTCTTTAAATTTGGTGCGGTCGTCAAGCATTTGTTTTAATTTTGAATTGTAATCGGATTTATCTATTACAACGAAGATATTGTTTTTCATTATATTTGTGTATGTTTTGATACAACATTTCAATTTCAATTTTTTATCCAATCAACTGTCTCGCCTGTTGAGATGACAGTTGGTTCCAATGTTGAGTAATTCCTTTTGGTGGTCAATTAGTTTGTAGTTGAGTCAGTTGCTTCTTCCACCGCGTGGAAAGTTGGCTCTCTGTGCCGCGCCAGGAAATTTTTCTCCCCGGAATCGATACTTCAAATATACAAATCAACCATTCGCCCTTGCATGGAGTATTGCTGCCTTCTGTTTACCTCGGAGTTCTTGACAAGATCCAGAGACGGATATGTAATCTAATTGGCCCTGATCTGGCGTCTCGTCTACAGTCACTCTCTCACAGACGCGCCGTCGCCCCTCTCTGTCTTTTCTACAAATACTTTCATGGTAATTGCTCCGCTGAGCTGCTTTCACTGGTTCCCATACTCCATGAATTCAAGCGCCCTACGAGGCTGGCATCCCGCTCCCACCCTACACTGTAGAAACTTTTAAATGTAGCCGTCTCTTCTACTCCAGTAGCTTCATACCTCGCACCTCTCGCCTGTGGAACTCCCTTCCCTATTACTGTTTCTCTGAGAGCTATAATCTCCAACTATTCAAATGTAATGTCAATCGACATCTCCAGTTACCTTGATCTATCCACTATCCTTCTCATCATCCTTTCTTCTATCACTCCTATCTGCTCTCGCTCCAAATCTTCTGCAACCCCCTGCAATCCTAGTGGCTTCACGCCTTGCTTAAAAAAAGTTAGAGGTGATAATGAATTTATCTTTATTATTTGGAAGATGAATAGTTCTTTTCTATTGCGTATTAAGTTTTTTTTAATGTCTGCAAGTCGATGTAGGATTTCTTTAAAATGTTCAAGGATGGTTGCTAGTTTTATTCTTTTGGAAATCTCATTTTCTCTTTTGCTAAGAGTTTTTTTTTAATTATCTTTTGCTATTTCAATATGCCTCTTCACAAGGTTACGTTTAAATTGCCGAGAGCTTGTATTAGGATGAACTGCTGGATCATGTAGATTAAAATATTTATATATAGGCAGCATATCTTCATTCAAGCATGTTCAGTTGAATAATCTAGACATATTATGTTTATATATTTAGTGTTATTAAATATCTTATTTTCAAGTTTCACCACTTAGAAATGACTAATTGTTGGTCCTAGAACTGAACACATGGAAACCCCATCATGATGTAAGTATATATTATTTTCATCCTTATAGAAAGTAACCTCAGTAGTGCAAGTCAAGAGTAGTTTCCGTAATATGTTAGGTTTAATCTTTAATGGAGGGAGAGATTGATTATTGTAAATATTCTTTATAATTATATCAATCTAACTGGGACATTGGTAAATAAACTTTCAACATCAAGTGAGATTATGGTTTCATTATTAGGTTTATGTGTTTTTAAGAGGATAAGACATTTTAGAGAAATATTAATCGGCAATGCTTGAATGAAGATATGCTGCCTATATATATATATATATATATATATATATATATATATATAGAGAGAGAGAGAGAGAGAGAGAGATAATCATTTTTCTTTAAGTGCAGGCAAATATATTTCTCTCTGTTTTCTTGTACGTGTGCATGATTTTTTGCTTTAATGTCGTTATTTATTCATAGTCAAGCGACTGGAAGTTATCCAAAAGAATTTACTTCCGGTCCGGAGGAAAAAATGAACGGTGGATATATTGAAAAGGTCAAGAAAAACTTCGATGGAAGAAAGAAAGAAAGAAAGAAAGAAAGAAAGAAAGAAAGAACGAACACTTGGAAGATAGAATATGAATAAGTTAATAAAATAAAAATAAATGAAGAATTCTATGAAAAGAGAAAGAATGAAATTTCAGAAGACTTTATAAGAACGAAATTGCAGGAAGTACTGGAGAATTAAATTCTTTATGAGTCGACTTTCTTCATTATTCTTCTTGCGAGCGGACCGAATCTGTGACGAAAAGACTGAGAGAGTTCAAATCTGTGCCCTGGCGTTTTGGACAATTTCAGACTCTTGTTTCTAGGTGTAAGAGGAAGATGGAAGAAGATGGAAGAATTGAGTTAATGATTTGTTTTTACGGCTTATCACCCTTTTGCAGGTTATTTAAAACCCGATCATATTTTTTGATTATAAGATTTTGTTTAAGATAATAATGATTTACTGATGCAAATCCTACAGATTAACCCATAGCTAGGGAAAGAAAAGATGGATTCATACCTTTCCCAACGAATATAACGAATCCTAATGAAATTGGAACACGGCTCTCTAATTTTCAATTCCGAGCTGTTATCTATTACACTATCTGTATATCCAAGCGTACATCACCTGGTATTCTCAAGCGGTTCCCTAGCTAAGTACTGACCATGCATAACATTGCTTAACTTCGATGATCGTACTAGAACCATTGTTTAAGCATGATATGGCCGTAAGTAAAGATGAAAGAAACACAAGTTAAATATTAATTGACATGGCTTCATCTAAGAAATCTAGACAATTTATTGACGACTAAAATGATCATGGCTCTCCACAGATTCCTTTCTTTTTTAATATCTATGAATTGTTTTAACTTCTTGGGATTTAATTATTTCCGGTTGCTTTCTCCAATGTTTTAAATTCAGTATAGTCCTTCTACTTGATTTGTTGCTGTCGATGTCAATCTACATTGAGGGGGTCTCAAGCCTTTCCCAGGGGTATTTGTGCAAAAGGGAACATAATAGACTAAGAGGGAATTGGTTGATGATTGTTTCGTTTTCTATGGCTTATCAACCCTTTGCAGGTTATTTAAAGCCAGGAAATATTTTTTTTAGATTCTAAGAATGTTTTTGCCGATAGTAATAGTAGTAGTTCTGGAGAAGAGGCTGTCCAAGTAGAATTCCTTTCTACAAATTGAATGATTCATTCATTCATTTTCTACGGCTTATCAACTTTTTGTAGGTTATTTAAAGCCAGAAAATATTTTTAGGTTGCAAAAATTTTTTGAAGATTTAGTCGTAAACATCTTGCTAATTAGACCTTGACTAGGGGGATTTATACATTTCCCAAGGGTATTTGCACGTAAGTGAATATAACGAACCCCATTGTAATTGGAACTCAGCTCTCCAATTTACAATTCCGAGCCATTATCCATTATAAAAACATTCTACAAGTGAGGTTTATCATTTTATCTCATCTACACCTTACTGCCATCTTGTATTCTGCTGAAAAGAATGGGAAAATTCGCATTCTGCTGAAAAGGATGTGAATATTCTCATTTTACCGAAAAGAATGTGAAAATTCGTATTCTACTGAAAAGGATGTAAAAATTCGCATTCTTCTAAAAAGCATTTGAAAATTCGCATTCTACTGAAAAAGGAGTGAAAATTCGCATTCTACTGAAAAGGATATGAATATTCACATTCTACTGAAAAGGATGCGAAAATCGCATTCTATTGAAAAGGGAGTGAAAATTCGCATTCTACTGAAAAGAATGTGAAAATTCGCATTCTACAGAAAAATGAGTGGAAAATCGAATTCTACTGAAAAGGATACGAATATTCGCATTCTACTGAAAAGGATGTGAAAATTCTACTTAAAAGTATGCGAAAATCGCATTCTACTGAAAAGAACGTGAATATTCGAATTCTACTGACAAGCATGTGAAAATTCACACAGCTAAAACCTGTACCGCCCTGAATAAAATGGATGTAATCTGGACATCTGATCTACCAGACAATCTCAAGCGGAGATTCTTTCGAGCCACTATAGAGGCGAATTTTAATGAATGATGCCACTGCTTTGAACATTAACTAAAACTCTAGAGTCTAAACTTGATGGAACCTACCTGAGAGCTATACTTGGAGACAACTTCCAACTAAATCACAACTCTATGGACGCATCCCTGATATTTCTACAATCTTCCGCGAATGCTGAATGCGCTTTGCATTACGCTACTAGCGATCAAAAGAAGAACTCTCGAGTGATCCTACTGCTTTGGACACCTAGGTATAGAGCAAGACGCTTTGGTCGCCTCGCAATCACCTACATTGACCAGCTATCTTATGACATCGAATAACAAACACCCTAAGGACGTTCGGACCTTGATGCATGTCAATGATGGTTGGCTTATGAATGTCCGAGCTAACTCGGCCGAATAAATAGGAGTGTGGTCCTGTTCGTGATATAAATACAGTTCTAAATTGATACCTGACTTCTTAAAGGGTTATCTTTTCTTTGTTTTTATTTACAAATGTCAAGTTTGAAACTGCTTATTTCATTGATAAGTGTGTACTAGTGATGTTGCCCCTTTCACCCAATTCGTAATAGTACGCAGTTCCAGTGATGTAGGTACAGCTTCAACCTTTGTAAATAAAAACAAAGTACAGATAACTCTTGAAATAAATCAGGTATTGATTTGACAGTGTGTTTATATTATGTGCAGGAACCCATTTCTAAGATGATAAAAAAACAAATAATCAGTATTTTTCGATCCTGACAAGAGTCGTGATTTGTGGAAGTTCTAATCCATAAAAATTATTCCCCGAAGAATTTTTTTTCTCTATTTTTACGGACGGATCAGACAATTTAAATAGTGTCGTAATATTTTTGTTTTTATTCTTGCGGTTGGCGTCATTTGTCTGGCATTTTAAATCAAAAAATGAACAACCAAATCTTTTAAACCCACATGAGACGAAGTAAGAAAGGAAACCAGGAAAAAAATTGTTGGTTGGGAGGAGTATTAATAACAAAGAGACAAAGGACGGAGAAAAAGATCTTCTTGTGAAAGAATTTTCAAGAAGAAAATAACGAAATGGGTTTTGTCTTTCTTACATGATGAATAGAATGTTTTAGAAATGGGGAAAATAAGAAATCAGAAAAAAGAAAAGACAAATTTGATAAGGACCAAATATATTCATCTCATTATTATTTTTATCATTATTATTATTTTGAAGAGGGGATTACTTAGATTTCATTTCAGAATTGTGATTTCACTACTGATAGCTTATCGATATCAGACAACATTGACTGTAATTCTATACTCTACTTTCCCAGCAAAGAATAATTCCCATCGTAGATTTTAATGGCAACAAAATAAGAAGAAGAAAGAGGAGAAGGAGGAGGAATGTTTTCCTGTTCCATAAGGGGATTTCGGTCTACCTTTTTATTCTAATCTGTGATTTGTAATTATATAAAATTATAGAGATCCGAAAATGCGAAATGATTCAGATAAGTGGATTTTTTTCTTCTTCACGAATCAAAGAAAATCCTAGAAAGAAAGAAAGAAAGAAAGAAAGAAAAAATTTCGTTGGAATGATGCTACTGTTTCGCTGATTTTACAGCGTTTCTATCGGTGTGTGTCTTCCTCTTCGTGTAGAGACAGAGCGATATGAACTTAGATGGGCTTGAAAAATCTGAAGATCGATAAAAAGAAAGAAAGAAAAATGAAAGAAAAAAGAATAGAATAAAAAAAAGAAGGAAAGAAAAGACATAAAGAGGTTAAGAAAGAAAGAAAGAAAGAAAAATGAAAGAAAAAAGAATAGAATAAAAAAGAAGGAAAGAAAAGACATGAAGAGGTTAAGAAAGAAAGAAAGAAAGAAAGAAAGAAAGAAAGAAAGAAAGAAAGAAAGAGGTGAATAAACCTGGCCTGAAAGAAAATACATGACGATGGAAAGAAAGATATGTATGATGATGGAAAGAAAAATGACATGTAGATAGGAAAGAAAGAAAGAAAGAAAGAAAGAAAGAAAGAAAGAAAAGACACGATGAAAAAAGAAAGAAAGAAAAAGAAAACTTAAGAAAGAGAGAAAGAAATGAAAAAAGGAAACATATGAATGAAGATCGGAACAAGGTTATGAAAAAACAGGAACAAATATGGAAAGAAAGAAATAAAAACGATATGAAAATTAAAATAAAGAAGCAAAGAAAAAAAGAAGGGAATATAGGAAAAAAAGATGTAAAGATAGAAAGAAATGAAGAAAAAAGATGGAAAGAAAGATATGAATGAAAACAGGGAGAAATAAAGAATCAAAAAAGAAAGATAAGAAAGGTGAAAAGAAAGCAAGAAAAAAAAGAAAAGGAAGAATTGAAGATGGAAAGATATCGATTAATATAAATAGACATGAATATAGGTAATCTCATTAAAGATTATCTAAGTGGGAATTGGCGAGATTTGGGAAGGCCTACGTCCAACAATGGACATTCACAGATTGAGAAGGAAAATGAGTCTTCTGATATTTTAACGAATACTTGCATATGAATATATATGCATTCACTTACTATTGCATAAAGAGATTTTTGTTTGAAATTATTTATATCTTGAAATAAGGAGAGAGGTAGATAAATACATATGTACAGGGCGAAAAGGAGAGGTGTCAGGAAGGTTGTTAAATAGTGCTGTAACCTAGGGAAGGTTACTGAATAGAATAATCACACGAAGGCTGGTAATGAACGATAATCCTTATGACAAGAACAATACAGCGGCACGTAAAAGTATTCAACTGCTAGGAGAAGTGAATTCCACAATGAATCTCCAACAGCAGGATATCTACAAACCGCTCCACGTGGTCAGATGTGGCAACAAGGCCGAAGTTAATGTGAGGTATCCAAGTCTTTAGGCTCGGCCCAAAATTCCCCGTAGAAATGGGGTCGGGTAGCTGCTTCCCGAGACGAGACTCTGCCCTTCCACAGAGGCTCGTCTGGGGATCCTCTCTGCGCGGAGGTAGATAGTTTGACCAGCACAGCTGGAGAGGAATCTCCAATGGCAGACCAACATACAGTATTTACTACTGTATTTATGTGAATGGGAACAGACCCATTATCGTCTGTAGGTATGCTACAACAGTTAAATGAGAAAAAAGTTGCTACTAATATATTCATGATTTTTGTAATTTTTTTTTTTTCAAAATCAAGGGAGTTTGCTGCTCGATCTGATATGTGTGCACAGCGTCATATTTATCGGTATGAAAATCGGATTTGGCGAGACGAATTCAAATACCCGCTTAGTCAGTATGCACTTTCGTTCTAATATCCGTAGGAAAGGCCTTAATCCATTTCTCCTCCGTACAGCTAAGGTTTAAATGACAGTGTAGACTTCTCCCTGTAGGCTTGAGTGGGGACTAGCAAAGGTTTGGTTGACTGATTTAGTTTAGCGGCATATCAACCTCTATGGGTTATTTAATGCCGAAATCTAAATATTTTGATCAAAATTTTTATGGCTTCAGCTAAATATATTTTTGAACGTCGTTGTATGCTTTCACATACTGAAAAAAATGTATTGCCGGTCATTTTGCTATAAAATATATTGTTGGCCATTTTACTATAAATACTTATTGTTGGTAAATTTTTATATAATAATGTATTGCTGGTATTTTTAATAAAAATGTATTTTTATACTTTCATAGTGTTTTGTTTGGAGGTTCTCTATTTGCCCATAGGTAGGACCCTAACAAGTGCT